ACTACAGTACACTTATAATAAGTACTTATATTTGGACTATTGTAGCCTGGTCGGGTCGTCACCGCTGCGGAGTAACACATACCTGCGTGAATCGCCATAGACATAAACTTAGAGAAGTAGCTCCGCATAGAATGTTCTTCCGCGGGATGTGTGCAGTTCTGTTTATTAACCGCTAGAGTGCCAAAAGTTACATAGTGCTGCTTTAAATAGACAAATTATTGTTTTAGTCTGAACACTATGTTTTATTTTTTTTGCCAATAAGTAAGAAATTAATAATTTTCTTAAGCAAGGACAGATTAAAATTGACCAAAGGTGACAGTAAAGACTGTCAGTTAAAAATTTGAAATAAATGCTGTTCTTTTGAACTTTCAATTAATCAAAGAATCGAAGAATCGTAAACTTTCAACTGTTTTCAGAATTGCGTGATATAAACAAAGAATTCTGACTTTCTTTCTTGCAGTTTTGAGGATACATCTTGAAATTCTGAGTTTTTCCTCAGAATTCTCAGTTTAAATCTCACAATTCAGTTTTTTTTTGTGCCACAGAATAAAAAAGGTAAATTACTTTTTATCTCACAAGTTTGAATTTTGTTCTTGCATTTGCAAGTTTATATCTCACAATATATAACTCACAATACAATTGAAATTGTAATTTTTTATAAAATAAAATAAATTTAATTTGAATATTTATATTTTATATTATTTTTATAAAAATATATTATATATTTTTATATAGAGTTTAAATCTCGGAATTCTGATTTCTCCCTCTTTTTTTAGCCCTGTGGCGGAAACAAGCTTCCATACATAAGAGACTTAAAAAAATAGATTTTGGACAGTAGATGTACTTTGTGTGAATCAAGTCTATGTGAAATAACCAGCCTCTATAATTTATCTTTGTGGACAGCCACTAATTTTCCATTTCATTTTTCATCTGGGCCCTGCTCTTTACCAGCAGAGATATAACAGTCATCGGTGTCCCCGAGACATTATCAAAACCTGACAAAGCGCCCCAGTGTGGGCCTAATAAAGATACTTTATGAGGCTCAGTGCTTTAGCAGGACTTAGAAAAAGCATTGGACTTCATTGATTTCGTGCACAGTGCGGTTTATTTACACTTCCTCTCTATCTGTTATCAGACACAGGCTGCTATAGTTTTCTCAAGCGTGGGCCACTTATGACGCTTATTTTGCAAGAGGTGTTACTTTAAGTGTGACTGGCATGAGGAGTAGCCAGACTATGGTGTATTTTTATTTCCCCAATTGTCTTTATGTACATCTCTCATATACAGAGGTATTTCAAATGATTTTTAGGAAGGAGGGGAGGGGAGCTTCGCAGATGAGCAATGTCTTTGCATTGATTTAGCTCCTGGATAGGTACTTAGAGACCACAATTTTCCCTGTGTGAAGCAAAATCAGCAATTAAATGGACTAAAATGCTGTTTTGTTACACTGTATGCTGCCATTTGCATGCAACATTGTTTTTGTTTGAGGACAAAACAAAAGCAGTACTTTACAATTAAGGTTTGACAGTGATAAAGATTTCCCCTGCTGACCTTTTAACACAAGGCAGTGTGATGCTTTTGTTAGACTGACAAGAAAGTGCTGCCCACTGCATTGAACCTTCACATTCTCCTTTTCCTCCGCCATCAACTTGGATTTGATTTGTATCAATACTTTCTTTATAAATGCAGTAGGAAAAAACCCAGTTATAAAGTGTCAGGCATCTGGTTTTGTATTTTGTTATTTGATATTTTTATAGGCAAATCATGATGGATTGGATGGATGGATTTAATTTTGCATTAATTAAAAAAAAAGGAACATCTATCACACTTACCCTCTGATGTACTGCAAAGTCACCAGTGGTCTTCTGAAAAAAAGAGAAAGAAAAATAGCACAATTATTTTCATCAAGCCACCAATGTAATGATTTAACTTTTTTTCAAATTCTCAAAAGTGGAAACTCAGCCTTTTAAAAGCAAGTTACATAATAATTCAGTCTTTTTCATAATTCAAAGCAACCACAGCATATACTGTACTGTAACCAATATCTGAATGGTGGGAGATAAACGTTAAGCTCTACCAGACGCCCCCAAACCACCATTTGATGCTCTGTCGTTTGCTTTACAGAGGCCGGTCCTTTGGTTAAAAGGGTCATAACAGCATAACAACACTTGCACGTTGGTTATATAATATGTGGGTGTGATAAAAACAGAAATTAATAGAATAGAAATGCATCACATATCTAGTCGCAAGTCCCTTCTGTGCTTGCAGTCTTAGGAAATGCTTTCATAGTTAGACAAAATCTCTGTAGTTTGCTGAAGAACACATAATTAGGCACTATTTTTGTTCTGCTTATAAATGCTTCTTTTGAGAAAGAAATTACCAGCGATTGTTCTGTACCTAATAAGCAATGTCTTTCATTTCATAAGCAGAGTGCAGAACCATCTTTTATTTAACAGCTGCTCAACAAGACTTCTCTTTTCTACAGAATACATTATTGTAAACACCATGCATTAGTGCAAAAAGTAAAGTACAGTTAAAGTAAAGATTACAAAATACACAAAACAACCATATGCAGAATTATGTGGCCCCATTAGTTTGTTTGGTGATGGTTTACAGCTAAGAAGAACCTTAGCAACTGTCATATGAATGTGCTGCTGATGATTTATAGGAAATGCTTATTCTACAATAAATCACTCTATGACCTGTGTAATCTGCTCATTAGTCAAAGATTGTAATTTCTTATGTATTGATTAACTGACAGTATGAATAATAATTTTTTTCATACAGATAAAGATGTTATCATTTTTATTAATGTGCAATCCATTAGTGGTGGAGATTTCAATGACTGTGTAGTTTACATGTTACACCAGTAGGTGGCTGATGAGTCATTAATTCAGCCAAAATTATTCAGACAAGCTGATTTATTCAGGAACTAAACAAGTGTGTCTTTATGAGTGAGTCATTGAATCATTCATTCAACCAATTCATTCGAAACATCACTACTCTGTGTGGCTATATTTTTTGGATCTAGTTGTGTTGGTGGACCATAAGCAGATAAAGCTAAATATAAGTGACTCAGTATTAACCTGTTGATTAAAAAAACTGGATCGACAATATCACACACGCAGTTGTGCTGTTTTTATGATTATCAAGGCTTGTGATATTGCTTATGCTTCTCAGATGATAGTCTGTTATTGTCTCCATTTAATCATGAATCTTTTTATTCCGCTTAATTGTATTTGAATAATTTGTCACCTTGAAAAAGAAAATGCAGACGGAGACAGAATGTCACATATTCACAGATCTTTGGTGTGAAAGCAGAGAAATCAATGACACTTTTTAAGGTGAAGGGTTACCCTCGAGGCAGGACAGATCTATAGACAGCACATTAGCCCTCTGTGATGACAGACGTGCATTTGAATGATTAATAGTGCATGTGCTTCAAAATAAAGACTTACTGATGTGACCTTTGAATGCAGGAATTTGGTGCAAATGGAATGACATAAATCCACAGGAATTATCCTTCCTGATATTTCCATATCATCGTCCTTGCCAGGAGAATAGAATAGTGTAGAATTGTGGCACAGATGTTAGGCATTGAACATGCAGAAATATCTCTGAATATTATTCAGAGAGTAAAACAGATTGTTATATGACATTTGTATGTTGTCAACTGACAACATTTTGTAACTTGAATTTAAATGAGAAAAAAAGTAATTAAAAATAATCAAATATATAAATTAAATTAATTAAATATATAAACTAATTTATAAATTAAACAAAAGATTGTGACTAGTCACACTAGTCTACTTCAGTGTATATTTATTATTTTTGTATAGACATACAACAAAAACAATCTGTTAAAATTTTAAACATTATTGCTCAGGAAAAAAAATGACAATTAGAAGAGACAATTAGACAAAAATTTATTTGACTCACATTAACCTTTTGTCACATTGTATAGGTTAAGTTGTTTGTCATGGGCTGTTTTAGGATTTTTTTTTCTATACAGAAACAGAATTAGCAAATAAATACCGCAAATTATAAATTGTAAGAAAATTGTAAGCATTTTTAACTAAAATACAATACCGTAGATAAAGCAAAGACAAGAAAGTTTTGACTCCTTCCAGTTGCTAAAATACAGTCCGAGACATTATCAAAACCTGACAAAGCGCCCCAGTGTGGGCCTAATAAAGATACTTTATGAGGCTCAGTGCTTTAGCAGGACTTAGAAAAAGCATTGGACTTCATTGATTTCGTGCACAGTGCGGTTTATTTACACTTCCTCTCTATCTGTTATCAGACACAGGCTGCTATAGTTTTCTCAAGCGTGGGCCACTTATGACGCTTATTTTGCAAGAGGTGTTACTTTAAGTGTGACTGGCATGAGGAGTAGCCAGACTATGGTGTATTTTTATTTCCCCAATTGTCTTTATGTACATCTCTCATATACAGAGGTATTTCAAATGATTTTTAGGAAGGAGGGGAGGGGAGCTTCGCAGATGAGCAATGTCTTTGCATTGATTTAGCTCCTGGATAGGTACTTAGAGACCACAATTTTCCCTGTGTGAAGCAAAATCAGCAATTAAATGGACTAAAATGCTGTTTTGTTACACTGTATGCTGCCATTTGCATGCAACATTGTTTTTGTTTGAGGACAAAACAAAAGCAGTACTTTACAATTAAGGTTTGACAGTGATAAAGATTTCCCCTGCTGACCTTTTAACACAAGGCAGTGTGATGCTTTTGTTAGACTGACAAGAAAGTGCTGCCCACTGCATTGAACCTTCACATTCTCCTTTTCCTCCGCCATCAACTTGGATTTGATTTGTATCAATACTTTCTTTATAAATGCAGTAGGAAAAAACCCAGTTATAAAGTGTCAGGCATCTGGTTTTGTATTTTGTTATTTGATATTTTTATAGGCAAATCATGATGGATTGGATGGATGGATTTAATTTTGCATTAATTAAAAAAAAAGGAACATCTATCACACTTACCCTCTGATGTACTGCAAAGTCACCAGTGGTCTTCTGAAAAAAAGAGAAAGAAAAATAGCACAATTATTTTCATCAAGCCACCAATGTAATGATTTAACTTTTTTTCAAATTCTCAAAAGTGGAAACTCAGCCTTTTAAAAGCAAGTTACATAATAATTCAGTCTTTTTCATAATTCAAAGCAAGCACAGCATATACTGTACTGTAACCAATATCTGAATGGTGGGAGATAAACGTTAAGCTCTACCAGACGCCCCCAAACCACCATTTGATGCTCTGTCGTTTGCTTTACAGAGGCCGGTCCTTTGGTTAAAAGGGTCATAACAGCATAACAACACTTGCACGTTGGTTATATAATATGTGGGTGTGATAAAAACAGAAATTAATAGAATAGAAATGCATCACATATCTAGTCGCAAGTCCCTTCTGTGCTTGCAGTCTTAGGAAATGCTTTCGTAGTTAGACAAAATCTCTGTAGTTTGCTGAAGAACACATAATTAGGCACTATTTTTGTTCTGCTTATAAATGCTTCTTTTGAGAAAGAAATTACCAGCGATTGTTCTGTACCTAATAAGCAATGTCTTTCATTTCATAAGCAGAGTGCAGAACCATCTTTTATTTAACAGCTGCTCAACAAGACTTCTCTTTTCTACAGAATACATTATTGTAAACACCATGCATTAGTGCAAAAAGTAAGGTACAGTTAAAGTAAAGATTACAAAATACACAAAACAACCATATGCAGAATTATGTGGCCCCATTAGTTTGTTTGGTGATGGTTTACAGCTAAGAAGAACCTTAGCAACTGTCATATGAATGTGCTGCTGATGATTTATAGGAAATGCTTATTCTACAATAAATCACTCTATGACCTGTGTAATCTGCTCATTAGTCAAAGATTGTAATTTCTTATGTATTGATTAACTGACAGTATGAATAATAATTTTTTTCATACAGATAAAGATGTTATCATTTTTATTAATGTGCAATCCATTAGTGGTGGAGATTTCAATGACTGTGTAGTTTACATGTTACACCAGTAGGTGGCTGATGAGTCATTAATTCAGCCAAAATTATTCAGACAAGCTGATTTATTCAGGAACTAAACAAGTGTGTCTTTATGAGTGAGTCATTGAATCATTCATTCAACCAATTCATTCGAAACATCACTACTCTGTGTGGCTATATTTTTTGGATCTAGTTGTGTTGGTGGACCATAAGCAGATAAAGCTAAATATAAGTGACTCAGTATTAACCTGTTGATTAAAAAAACTGGATCGACAATATCACACACGCAGTTGTGCTGTTTTTATGATTATCAAGGCTTGTGATATTGCTTATGCTTCTCAGATGATAGTCTGTTATTGTCTCCATTTAATCATGAATCTTTTTATTCCGCTTAATTGTATTTGAATAATTTGTCACCTTGAAAAAGAAAATGCAGACGGAGACAGAATGTCACATATTCACAGATCTTTGGTGTGAAAGCAGAGAAATCAATGACACTTTTTAAGGTGAAGGGTTACCCTCGAGGCAGGACAGATCTATAGACAGCACATTAGCCCTCTGTGATGACAGACGTGCATTTGAATGATTAATAGTGCATGTGCTTCAAAATAAAGACTTACTGATGTGACCTTTGAATGCAGGAATTTGGTGCAAATGGAATGACATAAATCCACAGGAATTATCCTTCCTGATATTTCCATATCATCGTCCTTGCCAGGAGAATAGAATAGTGTAGAATTGTGGCACAGATGTTAGGCATTGAACATGCAGAAATATCTCTGAATATTATTCAGAGAGTAAAACAGATTGTTATATGACATTTGTATGTTGTCAACTGACAACATTTTGTAACTTGAATTTAAATGAGAAAAAAAGTAATTAAAAATAATCAAATATATAAATTAAATTAATTAAATATATAAACTAATTTATAAATTAAACAAAAGATTGTGACTAGTCACACTAGTCTACTTCAGTGTATATTTATTATTTTTGTATAGACATACAACAAAAACAATCTGTTAAAATTTTAAACATTATTGCTCAGGAAAAAAAATGACAATTAGAAGAGACAATTAGACAAAAATTTATTTGACTCACATTAACCTTTTGTCACATTGTATAGGTTAAGTTGTTTGTCATGGGCTGTTTTAGGATTTTTTTTTCTATACAGAAACAGAATTAGCAAATAAATACCGCAAATTATAAATTGTAAGAAAATTGTAAGCATTTTTAACTAAAATACAATACCGTAGATAAAGCAAAGACAAGAAAGTTTTGACTCCTTCCAGTTGCTAAAATACAGTCCTTGTGAATGTTATTCTGTGACAATTAGCTCCAATCTCCTTAAATACATCTCACATAAATGTCTTATTATAACACTGTGCACTCCAAGGAATTAATAATATACTGCACACATTCTAGACTCTTTGATCATTTCATTATAACTACGCCTTTTAACTTCATTTCAAGGTCTCTGTTTATTTTCATAAGTATGTATACAGTAGGTTTCATCTATGTACTTAATCTAAGTGATGACTCTCAAAAAGATTGCTAATTAGTTTAGATGATGACTCCATACACTGCATACTAGCAGCAAAGAGCAAACAGCTACTCTAGGAAACTGAATACTGTTATTTTGGCTGATGGGATTTTAATGAGTAATAATATCTTCTTTTTGCCTCGTAAGAGGAAATGCTCACACTGACAGCAGACATGATCTTACCACAGATGTAATGTGTCATTACAACACAGGCTTATAGCATGTTGAAGACTCTCAGAAGAAGCTCATTCAAACAAACACAGATGCTTCCATCTTATAAGCTTATATTTACCACTCTGTCCCAATTCTTCTCTCTCTCTTCTATGTGGGCAGTCCAGGTTTAGTATTGATCGGGGTGTTCCTACCCCATTCATCTAACTTTCTGCCTCTGTCCACCCTGCTACAGTTCAAGAACCCAAAAGCTTGGGGGGTCCTGGGATTTTGAATAGGTCTACATGGCCATTTTCTTGGTGAGATACTGATGATCCACTTAAGTGGTAATGTAAACAAAATATGCTTTCTGTCTCTCTCTCTATATGTTTTTCTATGTGGACTATTTAACTGAAATGGAAAGCAGGAAATGTCAGCTGTTTAAAGGTCATGTAAGCAGTGTCTGAAATGGCACTTATACTTCATTTAATCATTTATCTAGTGCCTGTGTCCTCTATATCTCCTTCTGCCCATTGTGCTTGATGTATAATAAGCCAGGAAGATTCAGAGAAACCCTTTATGAGAATCTAATGGGCCTTTTCTGTTTCTCTCAAATATCCAAATGTATAATTGATGCCAAGCTCAACAGCTCTGCTGTATATGGAGATAGGCTAAAGGAAGGTTTTCACAAAATAGTTAAATGAGAATTCAACCCAGCTAGAAATAGTGTTTCTCAACCTTTTGTCTTTTGTCTTCAGTAAAGCTCTAGTACGCTTTCATAGACAAAAAGTGTTTCTTTATATTCATATTGACCTGTGAATCATTTAACATTAAAATTAATATTATTATAATAACCATTATTAACACACTGAACCTTAGCAGTTAAAACAAATTGATTTTAAAATATGCTAAAATAGAAAAGTTACTATAAATTATAATTTTTATAACAATATTATTGTTTTACTATATTTAAAATTTTTTATGTAAACACAGCCTTAATAAGCATGAGACATAGTATTTCTTCCAAAAAACATAAAAATACCCTAAACTTTTGAAGCAGTATATATATCTTAAAGTGTCACTTATTTTTTTTTTTTTTAAGAAACGGAATATGTTATACTGTTAATGACAACAACAACAACAATACTACTACTACTTCTACTACTACTAATAATAAAAGCCTTTGGACATCCATCCATATTTTAATTTTAAAGTCATTTATTTTTTAAGTTTAAAAACACAAAATCAAAATCTTCCATTGTACTAGAATACATAAGTTTCTTGGTACAGACACACCAGAAATGGCTGTCCATGCAGAGCTGTCATGTCTGCCCCGAAAACAATGGTTCTTCAACAAAGGATGAACAACAAGTTGGCAAACCATCTCTCTCAGCTATTACTGCCTGTTGTCTCCCTTGTGTTTTTGCTTATCTTTCGCTTTTGTTTGTTCCTTATCCTCTGCCATTCCAAACACACTTTCTGTATAGTTGCATCCGCCTCAGGAAGGTTTAGTTGCATGCAGCTTCTAAACACAGTTACAGTCATATCAGTAATAGCGACATGGCTGAATTCCCAAACCGTAATTTGACAGTAACACATATTTAATAAGTAAAACCACTCTTCCGCAAATAATTAATGAGAAAATCCGCATCCTTCATTAATCTCAGTCAATTTGAAAAACAAAGCCTTGGTCTTTGATCCATATTAATGTTATGAGTTTTCTGCTGAACCGATCTTTAGAAATTAAATCCCCACTTCACCAAAGTAAGCTTCGAAGTTTTATTTATTTATCTTTTTTTTTTTTGGAAGTCGAAGGATGTTGTTTTGTTTTGCTTCAGAAGAGCTATGATTTATTGCAAAGCTGAAAACTGGGCTAAATAAGAAGAGGAGGGTTTTATACAAATGTGTTTGCGGACACATTGACCCACAGTCATAGGCGGAGGGTGAACCAACTCCAGGGTAAGGCTAAAAGCAGCCAAATGTATTAAACATTGTAAACCCGTCTTTTTAGGCAAGAACCAGACATGGGTGTCATGTAAGCTAATAAAATATGTTTAATGGGACTGAAATTGTATTTAACGTGATTACAATTTAATAAAAACATTAGAAATTGATATATATTTTATTTCCTTGGCTATTCAAACAGCGAATAAATTATAGGTATACAGAAAGTGACATTATCAATAACTTTGATCTATCGCGAGTTTAAGCACTCTCAAAAAAACAAAACAAAACAAAACAATCGTTATAATCACAGAAGCTGTATACACTGTGAAATGAATCTCTTACTTAGACTATTGTATGCGCACACACTCAAAACTGATGAGTTTCAGC